GTGTGTGTGTGTGTGTGTGAGTGTGTGTGTGTGTGTAGGTAAATGTGTATATTGACACTCTGCCCCCTAGAAAATCGAAACAACTTCTCCAAGTTTAATTTGTCCTTTTGCAGGTCTGCAATAAAATATACTCTGTGTGTCAGATATGTACTTTCTGAGTTCTCAGCTTTAATGCCGTTACCCTTCCTTCAATCCGAGCAGCTCCTTAGCCATCTTCAAGAATCGGCTAAAACACATCTCTTCCATCTTTATTTGACCCTCTTAACTCTAGCACTCCCTATTCTAATTCTATTCTTTTTTTAAAAATCCACTTTTAGACTTGCACTCTATTCATTTAGCCTACTAACTGCTTGTTTTATAAAACAATTTAAAAAAAAACACTAGCTTCTCTAATCTTTTTGTATTCTGTTTTCGTTTCACTTATTATACGATTTACAAAAGCAAAAAAGGCCTAACACTAGCTTGCTCTATTCTTTTTCTATTGTTTTCTTTTTTTATTTATTATGTAATTGATAGCACTTGCATTGCTCTCTTGTTGATTTTGATTGCTTCCATTGTCCTTATTTGTATGTCGCTTTGGATAAATGTCTAAATGTAAATTACAGATCATTTGTGTTCTTATTGATTTTCTTGATGCTCTGTAATGCTTCCTCTGCTGCTGCTGTTATGATCAGATGTAATGAAGTAGGTGAGCTATCTTTCTATGCTTGCTACGTGACGCTTCCGAATCCCATGTACTCATCTCACCGCGCGGTAACGCCCCCTTCGTCAGATATGTACTTTCCGAGTTCTCAGCTTTAATGCCGTTACCCTTCCTTCAATCCGAGCAGCTCCTTAGCCATCTTCAAGAATCGGCTAAAACACATCTCTTCCATCTTTATTTGACCCTCTTAACTCTAGCACTCCCTATTCTAATTCTATTCTTTTTTTAAAAATCCACTTTTAGACTTGCACTCTATTCATTTAGCCTACTAACTGCTTGTTTTATAAAACAATTTAAAAAAAAACACTAGCTTCTCTAATCTTTTTGTATTCTGTTTTCGTTTCACTTATTATACGATTTACAAAAGCAAAAAAGGCCTAACACTAGCTTGCTCTATTCTTTTTCTATTGTTTTCTTTTTTTATTTATTATGTAATTGATAGCACTTGCATTGCTCTCTTGTTGATTTTGATTGCTTCCATTGTCCTTATTTGTATGTCGCTTTGGATAAATGTCTAAATGCAAATTACAGATCATTTGTGTTCTTATTGATTTTCTTGATGCTCTGTAATGCTTCCTCTGCTGCTGCTGTTATGATCAGATGTAATGAAGTAGGTGAGCTATCTTTCTATGCTTGCTACGTGACGCTTCCGAATCCCATGTACTCATCTCACCGCGCGGTAACGCCCCCTTTGCGCACGTGACCAGACTCCGCGCAGTTGATTGGCTGGGGCGGACCCCCTCCCCAGTGCCGCAGATTCACTCACACTCACTCAGCAGTGATCATGTAGCCTGCAGTATACACTGTAATCTTGCTCAATAATGCTCATCAGTATTGACTTCTTTTTCTTTCGGTTTCATGAAAGACGAGAGACTGTGTCTCTTTATTATTCTTATGCATGAACTCATCTCGAGTCATTTAGAGTCTGATTTGTATATATTTAATGGTCTTATTTTAAACATTTAAATGTCTACTTCAATTGCTGGACTAGAAGAAGTGAATATGAAGTCTCTTTTAGCCGGAGGTCGCAATGTTTTGTGCTTGTTTGATGTGGACGGAACGCTGACACCCCCGAGAGAGGTAAGATTGTTTTTATCAACATGATAGTTATGAGATAACATTATGCATAAGGGCTCTAAAACGTGCGTCCTCTATGCTCTTATGAGAACATTATATGTTTCTATTTGCAGCGCTGATCTGTGTGTAGGTGAAGTATGTCTCGTGAGTGTGCATTACTGGTGAATGAGTATGCTTTTGTGTGTTTGTACAGTATGCACTCGTTCTGCACGTATGCATCAGACAATAGTTCCCATGCATCGCTCTTGTAATGTCAGTTCATGGTTAGTTCCTAAACATTACCAACACGCGACTATTGCACGGTGAACATACCAGCATTCTGTTTCTTGGACAGTTTGTTGAAGGAACGTGTCCCAATTCGGTTCGTTCTGTTGCATGAGCACTTACTGAAATCATGGAAGTGTTTATTTATGTTCAGATGAGTTGGTATCTGTGTCCTCAGATGTTGCATCATCAGTCCTGTCCTCCGCTTTAACTTATGTGAACGTTATTGAAAAGTAAAAATAACATTTACAGCTCATGCAGAACGTCAAGACACAGAAATGCTGTTTTACAACGTTAATAGCCCGTTCACACCCAGACGCGATAGCGAGAATGTTTCAAACCCGATTTAACTTCAAGAGAATCAAGGAAACGCATAGGAACGGTGTTGATGTAATCACTTTTACCGCTTTGATGATAACACTAGCCAATCAGAAAACCTTCCCACTTTAACGAGCATGCTGAGATTATTTCCACACAACATGCGTGCGCTAAGAGTAAACGGAACGTCTTTGGTGTTCTTGTGAACGACCTTTGTACTATCAGTGTAGCCTTGTGTTTTGGTGTGAAAGCTTCACTGATTAAAAGGGACCTTTGACATGCAACAGGTCAATGTAAAACATCATGTAAGTTTCAAAACTTTCTCGTTAGTTTAAAAAGCCAAGCTCAGAAAAGGACTCATTTTGGAATGTGCCACTTTATGACGTAATAGTGTGGCTAAGCCCCGCCTCCGCAGGAAAGCTCTGCGCCTGCTTCTACACCCAAGTAGGTATAACTGCAGACCGGAGATCTCCAAAAGTGGGCAGAACCTCCAAAATGGGGTGGGGTCTCTTCGCGCAAAGACTTTCACCATTGGCTCTGGCTTCGGCCAATTGTTATTGACTTACATTTCAAAATAAAACATTATAAATTAAACATGCTTAATAAACGGGAATCACCCACAAGCTATCCCGCGAGCCGTCCTAGCGCAGGGGGAAGATTTCACTCTATCGCTTTGTTCTAAGCAACGGGGGCGTCCCGGGGCTCGAAATTCGCAGGTGTGTGGCTGGGTGTACCTAAAAAGGTGCTATTGTCCGGTTGGGGAGTTACGGAACGATCTCATATCGCATAATCTTATTAACTGTTTATCTCCTGAACTGCATCTTTCTTTACCATGATATTCAGCGCCAATCCCGCCGTGCAGTCAATTTCACTGGTTAAGGTTAGGGTCAAGTGTGGGGTAGGTTTAGGGGTTAGCATAGTATAGGAAATTGACACAACCAATAAACTCTTTAGAATCAGCTGTGGGGCGGAGTTTGCACTGAAGTAGATTGGGGGAAAAAGTGCGCATGCGTGTCATGTGCCTGTCTGTCAATGGGAGGAAGCCACGCCCTATTTTGGAGCTCCCACCCCGTTTTGGAGTTCCCGCCCCCATTTGGAGATCTCCAGGATGCAGTTATACCCTTCTCTCTACACCACTGCCTCTTTAGCTCCGCCCACTGATACATGCTTGTAGTAGAGGAGAGGAAATACTAGGATTACTTCAACAGAACCATACAGATGACATTACAACATTACAAGACACTGTGTAGTGTAAGATATGAAAAATAGTATTTGAATTGCCTTTCTTGTGATCCTAACATATCTAGATCGGATGCGAGCACTGTTTCGTCATGTCACAAATTTAATTCTGTCTTTTTTATTTTTTATATATATATAAAATCACACTAACATAAGTGAACCTCAGAGAACATTATAAATTAATAATAATAATAATAATAAATGCAGTTCATGACCCCTTTAATTGTTCATCGGCCACACCTTCGTGATGCTCTTAAACTCCCTCATTGAACACCTGGGAGTTTTCTTATACGTTTATTAAAATGTCTATTCATATTCCCCTCCTAGCACGCTGTTATGAATCACAGACGATATGACTTACTGTACAGTGCTAGCGTGAGTTTATGACAGTCTGCAGCTCTGACAGAAAAACAAGAGCATTTCGTTACGCTCCTTTTGGAATGTGCCACTTTATGACGTAATAGTGTGGCTAAACTCCCTCATTAAACACCTGGGAGTTTTCTTATACGTTTATTAAAATGTCTATTCATATTCCCCTCCTAGCACGCTGTTATGAATCACAGACGATATGACTTACTGTACAGTGCTAGCGTGAGTTTATGACAGTCTGCAGCTCTGACAGAAAAACAAGAGCATTTCGTTACGCATCCAGTCAGTAAACAACACTGCCATTAATCTGACTAACGTGCACTTAAACGTCTGCTGAAAACATAAATGTAAAGTATACCACACAGGGCTGCAGACAAGATGGTTTACAAGACTAGTCAACGTATTTGGACTATTTAGTCTACCCAAAGTGTGTTCCCTGATCAAAAATACTCTGAAAGCTGCATGCCACTGTTTAATGGAGTCGTAAATCAGTTTTCAGGGGCACTGAGGCCACAGCAGAAACCCTGCAGTGATGTAACTCTGTGCGTGTGTCTGCAGAAGATCGACCCTGAGCTGGACGATTTTTTCCAGGCCTTGAGAAAGAAGGTGAAGATCGGCGTGGTGGGTGGTTCAGATTATTCCAAAATCGCAGAACAGCTCGGAGAAGGAGATGAAGGTGAGAATCATACATTTCTTCATGATCCACCCTAAAGACAGTCACGAGTCTTTAGGATCATTATCCAAACATGTGTTTAATGGGTTTTGGATATTGCGTCAGATGTAGAATGTGGAGGAGCTGGTTTGACTGGATCACTGAGTCAACTCAGACATCAACACAACAGCTGATATCCCATAATTCCTTTGTGAAATTCATCTGTGACCACTGGAATGGAGAAAAAGTTATTAAATCAATACCAGTTGACGTCACTACCATGGTTGAACAAATTATTGCTCACAATTAATCTCAGAAGGCTTAGTTCCCAGTTATGCTTCTCTAAACTATAAGCCTGGTCTCAGATTAATGCGAATGATGAGAAAGGAGAGTTTAGTGAGAAATGTTTGATTTCTTATTGAGACTTTCGACGAGCACAGTTTGAGACATTCTTGAGATTGCTTATGAAACTTCAGAGGAGATGCTTGTGAGATTACCTTTTTCTTTTTTTCTTGGGAGGAACATCAGAGAAGCATTTGGAGTAGAGTATTGAAGGATCTAAGGATTCTTTGTAGCAACTTGTGTAGTGTGTGTGTGTGTGTGTGTGTTGCTTCAAGGGAGCAACATACATATGTGTTGTTTCATTTATTAATTCATTCATTTATTTCTTTATTATTCCATTTGATCATATAATCATTTGTAATAACCATTTGATCCATTTATACACTCATTCCATTTATTCATTCATTGATTAGTCATTTATATTACATTATTATTTTCCCATTGTTGTTTATTCTTATGATAGTCTGAGCATTGAAACATACGCAACTAAGATTATTCAATAAACTCTGCTTTTGTTTTTATCATCATCACTTTGTCTCCTGCTTCTGCTCTTCTCTGGCTTCTTGGCTGATAGAAGACTGTTAATACAATTTTGAGTACCAGGATATTAGACATCTTTGCTGACTAGCTGTTCTGTCATCAGATAAAACAGATATTTTCTGACAGAATCTGGCATCTGGGGCTGGATTTGATATTTCTGGCATGGAGGCATGATCTAACAATATGGAGACAAAAACACAGAGATCATGGGTTTGATTCCCATTGAATGCATGATAAAATCTATTCCTTAAATACAATGTAAGTCGCTTTGGATAAAAGCATCTGCCAAATGCATGACTGTACAATGTTAACTTGATTGCTGTCTAGAAGACAAGTTGATATTTTTGTGTATTTTTTATGTGTGGTTTTGTCTCACCTGTGGGTGTTAATTTCAGTCTCGACTCTCTGTTTGACTTTTCTCTAGATCTTATCATTTATCTAGATCAGTTTATAGTGTCATCAGCATTTGATGATTGACATTGTCATTATAATTGTGCAGCTCTGATTAGCCCTTTCGGACTTGAACTGATGGTAAAACTAACGACATTATTAACTTTAATGTCTTGATATTTACTTTGAAAGCTGAAGCTGGCGATTATAGTAAGGGGCGTTACATTTCCGACGCGTGCTTGTGGTGTTTGGCCAATCACAATGCACTGGGTCAGCTGGCCAATCACAGCCGATTGCGCTTGTCAAAGGAGGGGCTTTGTTGAAAACGACGTGTTTGAGAGAGGCGGGGCATAGAGGACCTACAATAATGTACAGTATTTGAAAAATAATGTGTTTTTAGAACATTAAAGCATGTCAACATATTCTGTTACACCAAATACACAAAATAATGATCTTTAAAATAGCATCATATGACCTCTTTAAAAATGTCCTAAATATTTCAAATATCACAGAAGTTCTTTAGAAGTTCATAGAAGTCCAAATTGGAATTCTTTGTAGAACTTTAAGTGAAACTCTTTAAAATGTCGTCTTTATTTTTATTTTTTTGTCTCTGTGTTGATACAAAATTGGTCTTGAATTCTCTAAATTGTCTTATTTAATTTTTCAATCTGTTTCTCAGGCCATTCAGAATCATCTGGGGGAGGAGTTACTGCAGGACCTCATCAACTTCTGTCTCAGCTACATGGGGCTCATCAAACTACCCAAGAAACGGTAACAATTACACACACTCCAGAGATGTGTGATCACCTGTAATGTCATTACCAAATGTAATCATTTAAACCAAATCTCTCTCCCTCAGAGGGACGTTCATTGAGTTTCGTAATGGCATGATCAACATCTCGCCCATCGGACGCAGCTGCACGCTCGAAGAGCGAATCGAGTTCTCTGAGATCGACAAGGTATTCTCCGTTTACAAGAACTGTGTTAGTTTTCCAGAATTGGCCTAAGGTTGAGGATTTGTTCACATGAAATCCTCAGGTCTTTTTACACCCAGAGTAAAACAAGTCGGACAGTTGTCATTGGACGATTTGTGTTTCTGGTGTGAACCGGTCCATACAAATCGACAGTTTTGATTTAAAACCCTAATGAACCTAAGCGCATATTTAAAATAATCCAAACTCTCCCGTCCCGCAGAGAGAGAAGATACGAGAGAAGTTTGTGGCGGCTCTGCAGGAGGAGTTTGCAGGAAAAGGTCTGCAGTTCACCAGAGGTGAGCAGGAAATGACATCGCCAGCTCTCTGATGATCCGAAGCAAAAGATGCATGCTGAAACAGAGCTGTTTGTACCTGCACTGCACATAAAACACACACGCACGTTATCTGTGTTAAAAGTGATAAGCGAACGGATGCGCTCGTGTGTGTGTTGACAGACCAATAACCCGTGAGAGAAAACGAGTGCTTACTCAACAACCTGTTTGCCTTTCCCGCATATGGACACACACACACACACACACAAAAAGAGGTGCATTAGCTTTGACGTCTGGAGTCAATTTCTAGCAGTTTTGCCTCTAAAGTTCAGCTCAGTTTCACACACACTGGCATTGTTTTTTCTTTTTTTGGGGGTGTGAGATGATCAAGCAGTCTGATTGGCTGTTTCTTTAGCAACCATTGAGTCAGTGCTAGAATGTCGATGCAGTCAGTGGAGGGACACTAATGAACGTCTGTGCGTGTGAAGATAATTTATTTTAAATGGCTGATTTCTGTCCTACAGAGTTTCTCAATCACTCTGAGGACAAACAGTCATGCGGTTCACATCTCTGAAGACAGACCGTCTCTCACACACTAAAAGGGTCATTACTGTGAGAATGAGCCTCAGGGCTTGTAAATGCTCTCTGTAATAGGTTGCAGTTTCACTGCTACTTTAAAGGGGTCATATTATGTGATTTCAAATTTTCCTTTCTTTTTGGAGTGTTACAAGCTCTTGGTGCATAAAGAAGATCTGTAAAGTTGTAAAGACTAAAGTCTCAAATCCAAAGAGATATTCTTTATAAAAGTTAAGAGTCAGCCATGCCTACCTAAAACTCCTTGTTCTAACACGCCCCCACATGTCTACGGCCCAGGGTCGTCACATGTGGTTGCTGCAAGCCCCCCGGCCGCTCCTTCATCGAATCCGCCGGCCGCGCCGTTCTCAAGGCCGCCGGCCTCCGCTCACTCTAGCCCGCCATGTGTCACGTTGTGTGACGCATTTTATGGAGGACTGTTTCCTGAACCTGCAGAGTAGCCTACAATGGGTCTGTGCTCAAAGGCTGTTCTATAAAGTGGGGCAGTTCCAACTTTGCAAGGACAGTCTGGCGCTTCTGACTCACAGCCTGTAAGTACATTTTTTATATTTAAAGAATTTGCCACTGATGATTCAAACGTGAGTAGCGCTTGTTGTTTGTCGTTTCTCCGATCACAAATGCAGACATGGTTTTATGTTTTGCGCGATACGCAATGCAACACGTAAAAACAAAGTATAAGTCATTATAATCAGTCGTAACATTTCCGTCACACGCTTGATGCATTCGGCCAATCACAACGCACTGGATAGCTGGCCAATCAGAGCACACCTCGCTTTTCAGAACGATGAGCTTTGTAAAAATCGATGCGTTTCAGAAAGGCGGGGCATAGAGGAGAAACAATAATGTACAGTATGTGGAAAATAATACCTTAAACCACATAAACAAATTGCATTACACCAAATACACAACATAATGTTCTTTTTAGCAACATCATATGACCCCTTTAATGCCGCTGGAAGGGTTTATTTTGGAGGAACACATAAAAAGACAGATTAACCCTATAAAACCTACTATATCATATGTGACACGCTTATTTCTAAGGTCTTAAACTTTGCTGAAAAACCTGTTGCACACAATCTACTGCATGCCTTCTGTCATCTGATTGATAGTTCAGACCCTTAGCAAGTAAAAGCTCTTTTAGTACCTGCACAAATGTCCACCTTCAGCTCATGCTTCATGTTTTTTTTTGTGTGAAATCTTTAGTGATTTTTTATAAAGTAATAACTTTGATATTGTTAGTGATATTTCAAGATGAACACTTACTGGACTGAAGCAGCTTTGCTTTCAGTTATCTTTTTTTTTTTAATTTAGTGTGTGTTCCACAGTTATTGTCAAGTGTTCATGAGATGGATTGCCTGAGGGAAGAAACTGTTCCTGTGTCTGGCCGTTCTGGTGCTCAGTGCTCTGTAGCGTCGACCAGATGGCAACAGTTCAAAGAGGGAGTGTGCTGGATGTGTGGGGTCCAGTGTGATTTTTCCAGCCCTTTTGCTCACTCTTGATGAGTCGAGTTCTTGAAGAGAAGGTCGGGTTGTACCAATGATTCGCTCAGCAGTCCGGACTACCCTCTGTAGTCTTCTGAGGTCAGATTTGGTAGCTGAGCTGAACCAGACAGTTATTGAAGTGCAGAGGACAGATTCAATAATGGCGGAGTAGAACTGTTTCAGCAGCTCCTGTGGCAGGTTGAACTTCCTCAGCTGGCGGAGAAAGTACAACCTCTGCTGGGCCTTTTTAACAATGGAGTCTATGTGAGTGTCCCACTTCAGGTCCTGAGAGATTGTGGTGCCCAGGAACCTGAATGACTCCACTGCAGTCACAGTGCTGTCCATGATGGTGAGTGGGGGGAGAGCAGGGGGGCTTCTCCTGAAGTCCACGGTCATCTCCACAGTTTTGAGCGGGTTGAGCTCCAGGTTGTTGAGACTGCACCAGACAGCCAGCTCTTTAACCTCCTGTCTGTAGGCAGACTCGTCACCTTCCTGAATGAGGCCGATGAGTGTGGTGTCGTCTCCAAACTTCAGGAGCTTGACAGAGGGTTCTTTAGAGGTGCAGTCGTTTGTGTACAGGGAGAAGAGCAGTGGGGAGAGGACGCAGCCCTGAGGAGCTCCAGTGCTGATTATACGGGTGCTGGATGTGTATTTTCCCAGCCTCACTAGCTGCTGCCTGTCTGTCAGGAAGCTGTTGATCCACTGACAGACGGAGGTGGGCACGGAGAGCTGAGTTAGTTTGGGCAGGAGGAGGTTTGGGATGATGGTGTTAAAGGCCAAGCTGAAGTCCACGAACAGGATCCTCACATAAGTCCCTGGTCTGTCTAGATGTTGCAGAACGTAATGCAGTCCCATGTTGAGTGCATCGTCCACAGACCTGTTTGCTCTGTAGGAAAACTGAAGAGGATCCAGCAAGGGTCCAGTAATGTCTTTCAGGTGGGCCAGCACCAGATTAAAAAAATAATAAAAAATTTACATTACAAGCATTTGAATTTCATACTTTTTGTTGAATTAAATATTAGCATCTGCATCAAATTACATATTTGTCCTCAGTTTGGGCCTCTGAATAAAATTGAGGTATTTTCCCCCACATATTTTCACTGTGTCAGACCAGGGGCGTATTTAGTGATTTGGGGGCCCCAGGCAAAATATATGAATGGGGCCCTATGTATTTGCACACATTTACAAATTTAGCCTTGAGGTTCCTTTTTTGTTGTGATGCTTGCTGCTGCACAATGGTGCCCCACAGTTGTGTCCAATGTTTCTAAATTTTTCATGTACATGTTATAATGGCTTTCTTTCATGCTGTAGACCACGAAATAGCAACTAACCTACAGTTTTCACAAAAACAAAATAAATTATAAAATGACAAACTTCACAATTGAGCCTTTAAACTTTTTGTTAAGAAAAGAGATGAGTCGGAAGTATAAATTATGATATTAATTTAAAACGGGGTTATGTGGGTGGATTTTCACATTGGTCTGAACAAAAACTGCAGACGTGATTATTGAAAATGCACATTGATTCTCTGCTGTCTAATTCTAAACTTTAAAATACACTTATTTTAGTTATTTTAACTACAAATTTAAATGAAAATGAAAAAAATTATGAAAAGGAAATTATACATTTACACACCTAAGGATTATATCAACCGGTTGGTTGCGTATACGTCATTTTAGCAGCATTTAAAACAATAAACATATAATGCACTGGTGCTCAAGTACACGAGAAGTGTGTTCAACTCGGACACGCAGACGGTTGTCGTGGTGATAAACACCGTAAAAAGCAACCGTTCGCGTGTCCGCGCTTAATGCGCATCTCGTAGATGAAAAGCATTTTAGGGGGCCCATGGCTTTTGGGGGCCCAAGGCGGTCGCCTACCTTTGCCTAATGGGTAAGTCCGCCTCTGTGTCATACTATATGAGCCATAAAAGCCTGATGGAGCAAATGATACTCAACAAAAACGCATATGCAAACTTTCTTTATTATAGATTTTTTCTAAAGGTTCAAAAATAGTTCCATTTAAAAAAAAAATTTTTTGGACTATTATTTACAGGGTTAATCCTTTGTAAACAATGCAACTGAGTCAGAGAAGCAGTCTGCATTTGATTAATCAATCAAAACCACTGTGTACCTGTCATTCACTTACATGCTCAGGTTTGCTGGCATCAGATCGGCTGGCACGTGTTAGGAAGGCAGGGTTTGGTATGAGGGCATCTAATTTACAGGATAAAACTGGTAGAAGTTTGCAAACGGCTAAAAACTTTACTGAACATTATCTGGAAAAACGCTTCTGGCATTGTAGATAAACTGATACTCATATGTTAAATGAATGCAAAGTTGATGCTCAAGGTTACACCAATGTTAAATTAATCTTTTCTTAAATTGTCTCTTAATTGTGGGTTTTGTCATTGTCTGCAGGGGGTTTGATCAGTTTCGACATCTTCCCGGAGGGCTGGGACAAACGCCTCTGTCTGGACGTCCTGGAACAGGAAGGATTGGACGCCATCTACTTTTTCGGCAATGAAACTTCGTTGGTGCGTAATTGAATGGCTGTGTATCTGTATTAATGTGTGTTTATGTTTATTTATTTGTAATATTTGCTCACGGATCAGGGTGGAAATGACTACGAGATCTTCGAGGACCCTCGTACCATCAGTTTCACCGTCTGCTCCCCTGAAGACACAGCGAGGCTCTGCAGGGAGATGTTCGTTAACGCTCCACCCAATGAGGCGTGAAAGCGGCTGCGACTGCCTGTGTGCAGCGCTCCTGCGCCCACTGCTGGTCACTGTGGGCAAAGCCTGAGAGCCATCACACATGCAGATCAAACCAATCCACTGCTGATCTGCAGACTGAAGGGACTGCCTGTAAATATCACTGACAGGGCCTCATCAGTGTGTGCTCTTAGTTTTTTAATGTTCAAATATTAATTTTAAATCGAAAGATTTCGCCTCGTTTCATAATAAAAAGCGTTTTACTGTGGCTACGTTCACACTGCAACATTTCCGGAGTGACAACTGCTTTTAAAATACAGTGAATACAGGACTCAATCCAGAAATTATGATGATTGACAGTGCACTGTTTGACACCTCAACGCTGTAAACTAGCTGTTTTAACTCATCTTTTTAACCAAAGTAACATTAGCAATCAGTAATTAGTAAGAGGCGTTTGCTTTGCTGTTTACCTCGTGTGCTCCATCACGTAATCGTGCTTTATTTATTTAAAGGAATTAAACGATTTAAGGGAATAATGAAAATTAGTATTTACAATTTATTGTAAAATAATGCATTTGCATTATGCATTTAAACTGTTTTATTTTAAAATATTCACATATTCTCATATTTGGTCATATGAGCTATTACAAAATACATTACTCGAACGCATGATTTCTTCAAGACTATGAAATCTGACAAAACGTTGAGTAGTTTGCATACGTGCGTATTACTGTCGGTCGATTAGCATTTCTGTCCTACAGCGGTTGATGGATATTAATGTTTAGCTGTAGCCTACATCTTACGTCACATTTTTCAGCCATTAAAACTGATCAGCTCGGCTTCTTTGAACGGTAAACCCCGGCTCCTTTGATCTGATTGGCCATCTCAATCATTTGACATTGATGAGTGCCTTTATACGCAAAGCACAAAAAATAAACACTTTTCTCATCCTAACAATAAACAGAGCAATAGAGTGCAGCGGAGCAGCAGAATATCAGAGACAAATTTGGCCATATCTGATCATTAATCGGATGTCTGCAATGGTTGCAGCCCTGTTTTGTGAGATACGCACCTGTTCCTGTGGTTTTCTAGCACCTCAGACGAGCCTTCGGTGTCCAAAACAGTTAAGAGTTTCAGATTCTATACAAATGCTGCTGTCACTGACTTTACACAAGTGACAACCAAACTCCTGAATAATTCACTCAATGACTTTAAGCCATGTTAAACCCTTAAGCCATGTTATGCTGCTGTTTTTCATCGGCTGTAGCTTGTCGTGAAACCACAGGATGTAGACGAGTCGCCCGACAGCTCCAGATATTTAGCATGCTAGATATTCATTTGTCAGCGAGCCTCTTTGATGCATCGTTCAGTAGTTCACACATAAAGATTGCCGAGCGCTGATCACCCGCTGATTTCCCCCCAATCACAGCCCGACCTGTCGGCGAGCTCGTTAACTTGCAAATCAGGCTTAAAATACTGTAGTGTGAACGTGGCTTTAATGAACCCAATCAGACATCGGAACTGCAGTGTGAACGTAACCACTGTGTCTCTGACCGATCGCAACGTGATGAAACGAGTGATCAGTTCTGTCTGTTCCACGTTAAGTGTTAAGCTTAAGTTTTATGGTCTCGTGATCTTATTTGAGATGTTTGTGATTGTAGTTGAATGTGGCTCTGATCTCAGATTGACTGAGATTTTTACAAGATGATGAAAAATCTGCATATTATGAATGAATGACGGACCGAAACGACAAAATCTGATCTAACGCAAAGTTAATTAATAGTTGATCTAGGTGTGTCGCATCGCTCTCTTTTAGCGTGGTTAAGATTACGAATCAGTTTAGATGTGATATTATCATTCCAGAGAGAACCCAGCATCGTTGATCCCTGAAAACATGATGCTGATCCCACTGATTTCCAGGGATTTTTTTATTAAGACCTTTCTTACGTTGACCGTTTCTTAATCGGACATCAAGTGTTTCTAATTATAAAACGGAGAGTTCCGGTCCTTGATTCTGATTCGCTGAGCCAAGATCGAAGCGGTTGTAAATTACTCTATAAACATTCAGCAACCACTTTGTTGGAACCACAACTGTTTCTGAGGAACTACATTGTTTGGTGGAAGAATACTGTTTTTATTTATATCATTACACTTTATTTGTTTTATTTTGTGAAACCTTACTACGTATATAGAATAACCGTTTTATAAAAGCAATAACCCCTATGAAGCCATGGTTTACAGTGAATTTATAATGGCTAAGGCATGACGTGAAGCGGCTTCTTGGGGCTTATTGCTTTATTCAGAATCCGTCGTGTGTTTGAGCGTATGCTATGAATGTAAATGTATCGTTGCTTCATGTCTGATCGCATAAATGCACTTTAACTTGAATTGAATCATATCATAAACTTACACTAATGATGTAAACGGTGCTGGATTGAAGAAATTATGTGACTTTAATTCTATTAAACAAACTCTGTTAATTTGTTACACTTTAAAGTAAAGTTTTAACACTCCCGAAGAAAGGAAAAACTGAAACAGTAATGGGATTTTCGTGGTTCAAAAATATATCCATGTGAAATGCAAATGCTAACATGCCTGGTGATGAATTGTGAACAAGTCTGTTTGTTTTAAATACAACTTTTTCATATTGCAATGGAGTCTGATCTGTTTATGAATGTTTAACGTATAGATTTTTTTTTTGAATGCACATGTGTTATTAGCCTACCTTTCTGTATGATTAATAATGCCATGTGCTTTGCAGTAAGAAACAAATATGTAAATCATAAATTAATTTTATTAGTCCGTCAAAGTTCACATGGAAATGACGTCGACCACAGTGATCTGAGCTCTAAAAAGTGCTAAAAATAAACATGACGTTTACAAACAAACACCAAACGAGGGCTCAGAAGCGTAGAAATCTGATTAAATCATTAGACAAACTGAAGAACATGCTACAGATCACGTGACCAAACAAATAACGCATTGATTTATCATTTTTATTATTTTCATACTTTATTAAATTATTTTTATTACATACTGGTAAAAAAAATGCCTGAATGCACTGTAAGTCGCTTGGGATAAAAGCGTCTGCTAAATGCATAAATGTAAATGTATTATATTTTTTATACAAAGAAGCCATTTTCACACAGAAATTGCTAGTAAAATTTCACAAGTAACACATTGAATTAAACATGGAATTTTAAAGTAGAAAGACTGAAATAGAGTTTTTCTTGCATGAACACACTGCAATAATTTTTTTCCTACAAGTTTGCAAATAGTTTTTACAGGGTTATTGTTATACTTTATTATTGTTGTTATCATTACTACTTTTTCTTCTATTTTTACTCTTGGTTTTGAGGTGTGAAGTGGACCTGATTGTGACGACAGTAAAGCATCTGATGCTTCAGTCCGAGCAGGTGTGTGAACTCTGACTCACTCCGAGATGTGTACGAAGATGTCCTCTCCACCGTGAGCTGGTCTGATGTAGCCGTGACCCTGCGACCGCGAGAAGTTTTTACACATGCCCTTAAAGACGGGACCTGCGTTTGCGCGAACAGTCCTGCAGACCGACCCAGATTCCACTCCATGATAGATGTTTGATGCTCATTTCCCAAGGACGGCTTAATTATTAAAGAGAAGAGGAAAGCCAACAGTTATGTTGTTTCTAGATAATTTGGGATGATCACATCCTGAGCATATGGTGACCAATTGTAGAATGGGAGCGGGTGTGGGACACCGAAAACCATCTCAGACAATAAGGTGTCAGAACTTCATTAACATACAGAGCACAGCTGTTAGGACAGGAGCAACTTCATTTACATTAAGGGTACACTCTAAAAAATGCTGGGTTGTTTCAACGCAACTTTGGGTCAAATATGGACTAACCCAACTTTTGGGTTAAAAATGTAATGTAAAAATTTAACCCAACGGTTGGGTTAGTCCATATTTGACCCAAAGTTGGGTTGAAACAACCCAGCATTTTTTAGAGTGTAATAAACTGTAAATGTGTAAAAGACCTCCGTGAAGTTGGCACCCCATAAAAATAAATAAGCATATGCCATTCATTTGTGCCGCAAAAAATGAACGTTTTTATTGGTTTAGTGTTCGAGATAATAAACAATATTTTTTTGACAGTGTGACGTCACTTTCCACCCCATGTTGCCCAAATCGCTCCAAACCGCTATCACTCGTTTGTTCTCGATGTGTGCCGTTAAAAGAAACCCGGTAACCATGACCGCTTCTTAAAGGGGGCATAACACACACAGTTTCACCCAATCTCATGTTAATCTTGAGTACCTATAGAGTCGTAATGCATCCTTCATATCTCCAAAAAGTCTTTAGTTTGATCATATTTATAAAAGAAAGATACAGCTTTACGATTCTCTCCGGAAAAAGCTGAGCTCCTGGAGGCGTGCCGTGGGCGGAGCTAAAGAGTGACGAGCACTTGGGCGCCGAATGCCAACAAAACACAGACATTTGATGCCGTTTCACTTCCCGTCTGCAGTTCTGAATCATGACCGGGATCTTTTATAGCTTGACCGCTCCATCTTTCAGTATCAAACGATGTGCAAATCCAGCGTCGAAATGGGCCTTGTTTATAAAACGTTCGTCAACAAACACACTTGTGAAACTCCGTTGCTGCCCCGGAAGTCAAACTGTATCCACTGTTTACATGACGCTGGGTTCTTTAGGAAGCTGAACAAAGTTATCTTTCCCTTACAACCAAAAACACACTTCTTTGGAGACATTCTTCCCGAGTGAGTCCTGTGCAGCGCTCCCGCCAGATGAAGCGCGTTGATGGGCACGCTCTTGCTCTTGCTCTCGCTCTCTGGTCGATGTGCGCACGGGTGCATTCTTCCGGGAGAAATGCCCATATAAGGAGTTCCACCCTTGTCTACGTCATGAAGAGCCACGATCGAAAAAAACTCTCCGAAACTTGTAAGATTTTTGGCACAGAAATACTCTTGTCATACGTCCAAATTGTTTTTTGAAACTTTGTCCATGTCATGAGAATCCAACTCTTTAACAGTGTAAACAACTCTGAATGCATGAAACAGCATTGTATCCCCCCTTTAAATATAACGCTCACTCTCCACCCCATTTAGCGTTGCCGCAGAGTTTAAAAAAATAGCTTTTTTTACAAGTTAGTGTTTGTGCTGCCTTACAATTGGCACCGTTTTGGAACGATTTAGATTGCATGGGGAGGAGAGTGACGTCACTGTTCCTAAAAAGTTTTGTTTTCGTTATATTTAAGGTCATAGTTACAGGGTTTCTTTTAACGGCACAAACGAATGCCATAGTTTTGGTGATTTTTTTTTTTATGGGGTGCCAACTTCACGGAGGTGTGTAAAAGGTTTGAGTTTAGGATGTTCGGAGTTCATTCCGACTCCGTTGAACCCAAGGTATAGCCTACTACATGTACTTTGTCACTGCTATGCTGTAATAAACATCTAAACGTCCTCATCATTTTTTTCTTCAAAATAGCTAGTTCCTGTAAACCGAGCTAATGGGGAATGTCCTTAGAACTTTGGCTAAGGTTCTGGCACGGTTGTCTCAAAGTTACGAACAAACTTATTCCAGTAACTCTAACAGAATGTCTATTCAGAATTATCTGGGCTTTAATAACATAATCAAAACGTTAGCACAAAAACATCATTTATACATTACTCATCAAACAATTTTTGAAACATTTGAGTGTTTTCCAAACGTTACTACTTGTTTCAGATGCTAAAGTTGAACATGCCCTTAATATTTAATCGAACATTGACATAACAAGGAAAACAGTTTTTAAACCTTTAAAAACTGGATGTTTCAAATGTTCTGCGAACATTCCGAAATTCATAACTTAATGGGAACATTTGCAAAAGGTTCTGGAACATATATTTGTTAGCTAGGAATCAAAGGGTGTGGCGCTTGCAACACCAAGGCCATGGGTTCGATCCCCAGCTATAGGGATCACACTTACTTCTGAAAGCATCAACTGCATGACTGTAACTGTAAAGGTGCAGTCACATTAGCGAAATTTCGTAGAAATTTTGCGGTCAAAAAAATCCATTGTCTATTGTCAACAGTGAACCAGGTGCGAAATCTGTTGAAGTCTGTTTCGCCCGCGAAAATCTTCTGATAATCGGTAAACGTGACAGCAGCAGAGGTGGTGGGCAGAGGGCTCGGTAACTCCCCGGGCCTACCGTCCCGCAGGAACGGGAATGACAGCGACAGCGGCGCCGAGCGCGGAGACGGGTCCGGTTCCGCCATGGACACGGGCACCGGGTGCGATGAGAAGATTTGGGTCAGTTTGCTCTCTGAACTGTTTTTTATTTGCAATGGAGCGACGTGTAGTGAAACAGCTTCTGCACTGACATTTAGTCTGTGCTGCACAAAGCCACTCTCTCTCTCTCTCTGTGTGTAAGAGAGTTTACATTCAAGACCTGGTTCCTCATGCACAAAAGCCTGCATTGTCTTCAAAGAGGCCTTCTGAGATCAGACTGAACTGTGCATCACTTGTGCTGACCGATCGTACGTCAAATGTATATTTAACATTACATTAATAGGATGGCCTACTACTATCCGATAGCACACGTACATCACGGAGACGTCTATTTGATGTCTGCATCTTCATCTGCAAGACGTATGATCGCTTCATCTGGAAAGCATCTGCTGTCTGATAGGAAACGTCCTGAGGACGTATAACAGATGAGCAAACACTCTAAAAAAATACTGTGTAAGATGTTAGTAAATAGACGTCTCTGTAATGTGCAATAGTCTATAGGACGTTTCCTATCAGATGTCAAATAGACGTTTAAAAGATGTCTTTAAGATGTTTAAGATTCAGAATGAATGTAAAACTGACATCTTAAAGACGTCTATCAGATGTTTGTACACAGCAGATCTTTAACAGATGTCTTGCAGACGTACCTGTGCTATCTGCTAGGCTATTTGTAATATTCTGTAGTATGTTATTGTGTGCACTGCAGTAACATATGGGAGATATGATATCCCACAATGCAGTGCGCCTTATATTTATATTGTTTACTTTATATTTCCAGCCACAAACAAACCGAAATAAAATATTAGTCATATTTTTTTTTTTATTATTAACTCTATTTTGGATTAAAATAGCAAAGAAAATAGCATTCATTCTGAACAAGATCAGACCAAACTGTACACATCAGGTGTCCGAAGTATATTTATCATTTCTAGGTTATGGTCTCTGTACGGATTGCGCGCGCAAATCTGGCCAAAGTTTTGTAACACGACCGGACATAAATAAAAGGTGGGCGACAGGATGGGATATCACGCCTAAAATAAACAAGCACTCAATTTAATCATTTTATGTCTGTTATTAGATCATATGCACGGTTATCTACAGATAAGATAGAACCGACGAGTCTGTTCACGTATCACCGAATCCCTACGATGATGCACTGAAGCCATTCAAACAAGTCTGTCCCGTGTCTTTTGAGATTCTGTAAACAGCTGTCAGCTCACAATGCATGTATTTATAATTAATAGTTTAATGTAAGTATGATTCTATAATACCCTTAAACTAAAATGCTTGGCACAAGGGTTATCATGTGGCGACAGCAATTCTGTTATTTAAAAAAAAAAGACAGATTTTATAAATTAAAACCAATATTTCTGAAATTACACGTGCAAAGTAAGTTTTCATGTATATATATATATATACACACACACACACTACTGTGCAAAAGTCTTAGGCCATTAGTATCTTCACCACACTCTTAAAAAGGATGTGTTGAAAATAACAACCTGTATGCATTTTTTTTAACAGATTTAACACAAAATGACACAAACTTGTTAAAATTGTCATAACACCAAAAAAAAAAGTTAAAAATCAACAAAAGATTGAAACCATTTGTTTTGTTGGTGAAAATACTAATGGTCTACTAATGCACAGTACTATGTATGTAAATATATATCGCTTCCTTCTCTGTGCTGGGGCCGGTGGGTGAGGTGTCGATGAAGACCTCGTCCACCACCCGGAAGCGGATCTCCTCACCCCGGTCCATGAAGAGGTCGTGAGCGCCCTCATCCGTCTCGTACTCCCACACCCACAGCTGCTCCGCCTCGTCGCTACTCTGAGTAACAAACTAAAAAAAAACAACAAACAAAAAAGTGCATGTGATATTAACAGACGAACTATGCTCATATTTATAATTCCAAACAATCAGTAAGCGACAGGTGCTAGGAAACGCTGTGTTGTACTCATTTATTGAGTCGGCGGCTGCGGTGCTTCTCTGCCGCTCACTGCAGAGACGCCGAGAGAGGCGACACTTCCATATTTTCTACTGATTGAGAGGAAATACTGCAGTATATTGACTTAGAATGCCCTATTTTACTGTCATGATGAGGGAATATTGTCAAAAAATAGCACACTAAATAGTGACTGATAAAATCAACATGCATCTACACTAAAGAGTGGCTATGTGGTTGTTTTGGCTAGATTACTCTTTTGTCTCGTGCAGCGCACTGCCTGCGTCTGAGTAACAAACTAAAAAAAACAACAAACAAAAAAGTGCATGTGATTAACAGACGAACTACGCTCTTATTTATAATTCCAAACAATCAGTAAGCGACAGGTGCTAGGAAACGCTGTTTATACTCATTTATTGAGTCGGCGGCTGCGGTGCTTCTCTGCCGCTCACTGCAGAGACGCCGAGAGAGGCGACACTTCTCCGGGAAAGTCAGACCTCACGTTCGCGGGACAGCACTGGAGAAATCCTCCAACTGAACCATAGCTAAGGTTTATCCAACAAAATTGCTAGGTTTGTCAGTATGAATATTCTATGGAAGAAAGCCGCTAAAAGTGTCTGAAAGTTGCTAAATCTAGTGCTAAAGTCTCGCTGGTGTGTGTGAGATGCGGGAGCTGATGGCAGCGGGCGCTGGATATTTGTGGAGGTCAATGTGGATATTGTGGATGAGTTCTTCTGTGTCATCATGTTCTATTAGTTCTACAGCTTCAGTTTCTGAACTTTCACGCTTAGTAACACATACAGCTGTTCCCTCACCACAGTGCAACAGTGAAAAGGGACCCCTTTCAAACAGTGTCGCGTTCTGAACGTTGTTTAAGCGACATACACCGGTATTGCAGTATTTTAAAAATTCGTATCATAACTAAAATAAACACCGGAATTCGGTATGAACCGGTATACCGCCCAGCACTACATCAAGTTAAACAAAATGAAAATGAGAAATGTTACCTTGGCCACCAGCTGAAATAAAATATATATATATATATTCTCTATTTCAGTTAATGCCTATTTTAACCTTTTTATTGTTTTAGTACTTCAGCTTAATTATTTTAGTATTTCAACTGAAACGAAATGAATTTAAGAAATGTTGTCTTCGCAACTAGCTGAAATAAAATGTTTAAGTGTATAATTAATATTTATTTTCTGTAACGTTTTTTATGGTTTTAATTTGTAGCCTTGTTTATGGTTTTACTTCAACTAAATGAAAATGAGAAATGTTGGCAAATAGCTGAATTTTTAAAATACATTTTACTTCAGTTAACATTTATTTTATTTCAAGTAATGACAATTTTTTATGGTTTTAGTTTACCGTAAAACCCCCGCCACTGAAGAACACGAGAAGAGAAAAGCATCTCTCACCATGAACACCTTCAGCACTGCAGCCTTTAATCTTCCCAACCAGAATCTCATCCAGGAACGGGTGGAAAACCACGTATCGAAAATGAACTGCAGGAGGAGAGAGAGAGAGCATGAGGTTTAGCTGGACCGAGAGCGTCGCTGTATGAATGCCGTGAGGAACAGAGCACCTTTAGTATGAGACGCTCCGTCTCCAGGAAAGATGTAGGAGTCCTCCAGTTTAGTGACGTCATACAGACAGACACACAAGCCCACATTATACACCACCTGCAGACGGATTCAGCACAGCAGTCATGTACAGCTCCAGCCGGATGCGTTTATAAAGCCTGCATGTCTTTGAGAATAACTCGGAGTGCTTGAGGGAAAAGTCTTCTTCAAAGTATGTTCTTAATGTTAAACAAAAACAGCGTTTTAATGAAGTTTAGACCTTTAATACATTTACCAACATTTAACCCCTTAACTGTCACCGTCCCACCTGTGGGACGCTTGGTGCTCTTTTTGTTGTTGTCCTTTTTCTCTATCAAATATTTATTAAAATATCATTTGAAAGTGTAGAAGCTTAAGATTCATCCTGTGAAACCCATTTTGAAATCGGGCATTGCGTTACCATGGAAATGGTACTTTAAAATCTTTTGGAGGTCTCCTCCCCCTTAGTGGGCGGTGTCAAGTGTCATATTACAAAATGCATTACGCTCTTTTACAATCAAAACTTTTTTTAATTGTGACAAAAAACATTATTGGAAAGGTCTGGGTCTCAGAATATTTTGAGATATAATTAATATTGACAGAGAAATCTAGACATATGTGACAGAAAAATGCATAAAAAATTTTTTTATGGAGTTTGGATGGCGCCCGGTGGCTGTTTGTGGTATAACGCCCTAAATAAAATCTCACAGGAACCTCAATGTTTTTTATGTCAACTTCAAATTTGGAACATAACTTTAGACATAAGGCTTTAATTTTATACCAATTTTAGAGTAAAATATGTTATGTAAAATATTTATTATATATCAAATAAAATTAATAGTGCATTTTATTTACAGTATATTTTAACTTCTATAACTTTTTGATACTTTAATTGTTTGAAAAAATTTGTTGTGCAATAATCTGCTGATTTTCTTCTTTAAAAAGAGACCATCCTGATGTCTGTATTCCAAAGTGTTCATAAATTACAACAATTTAAGTTTGGATAGTGCACTTTCATGCCTATTTTAAAAAATGGGGGGGTGACAGTTAAGGGGTGTTAAACTATAGCAGAATGTAATGATTGACTTATTTGTGATATTATGTTTTTGCTGTTTTTGTTTTTTTTGTCCACACGCTTACGGGAATAAACTTTTTAAAATTATATTACATAAGGCTTTAATTTTATACCAATTTTAGAGTAAAATATGTTATGTAAAATATTTATTATATATCAAATAAAATTAATAGTGCATTTTATTTACAGTATATTTTAACTTCTATAACTTTTTGATACTTTAATTGTTTGAAAAAATTTGTTGTGCAATAATCTGCTGATTTTCTTCTTTAAAAAGAGACCATCCTGATGTCTGTATTCCAAAGTGTTCATAAATTACAACAATTTAAGTTTGGATAGTGCACTTTCATGCCTATTTTAAAAAATGGGGGGGGTGACAGTTAAGGGGTGTTAAACTATAGCAGAATGTAATGATTGACTTATTTGTGATATTATGTTTTTGCTGTTTTTGTTTTTTTGTCCACACGCTTACGGGAATAAACTTTTTAAAATTATATTAATTTAATAATTATTATATTATTAAAAACAATATTGAGTGAGAAAACGTTTTATGTCTAATAAAGTGGATTTTTATATGGTATGCAATGTTAATTATGTGTCAAAACACTGGACTTGCTAAGACGAGTTATTTAGCAGGAAATTTGTAATAATAATAATAATAAGTTAAATTATAATTCTCAAATACTTTAAATAATGCGCCAATCTTAAGCTTATGATGGATGCTTTATACCATAATAATACTTAATATTATTGTTTTTGACAATAGTTTTGGTCAAATAAACGCAGTCCTGGTGAGTAGAAGAACATTTAGAAAATTGCATTCTGGTATTCATGTATACATAATTAATATAATGTGTGTGTGCATACATGCATATGTAGATTCATGAAGCATTTGTTTTGCAACATGCTTTAAAGGGGTCATATGATGC